ATTGTTGTGATTGGTTTAAAATGCAAGGTAAATTTTTAACTGTCATCTTCTGATATGAGAAAGTTAACATTCAGCCACATTTCTTGTCATGGAAGTACCTTTGAGCTATGATACACACAATGAAATGGTAAATGTCTTCCCTGAATTGTTGAACATAAAACATGAGAGTCTCAGGTCTTTCTGAAAGCAGACAACATAACTTCTGAAAGAACTATGTCCCTTGAAACAACTTCTTCTTCTAGGCTACTGCAGAGCTTCAAATTTCTTCAACAAATAAATATGCCAACTCATCTTTAAATGGTACTGTTGTGAAATTCAAGGGTTAAGACTGTATAGGCTATAGTTGATCTGAGTTTGTTATTAATGGCTGGTCACATGGCCTTTGGCAGGCCAAGCGGTAACACTGGCTTCCAGGAGAGAGGATGTTTTGGAAAATGATAATGTATGTGACTATCTGTTCCAGTCCATCATGTGTTGGCAGAACCTCCCATCCTACTGTCTGTTTCCTTTGGTTTGGTTTAACCTATTTTTTAGTATCATCAGTTTACGTTTTTTCCTAGACTTTGGGAAGGGAGTTTCATTTTTTGCTTAAGATCATATGAGATTTTATTGCAAAACCTCAGACCATATTTAATTTGATTGTTCTGAACTATGCCATTGACTCTGAGTTCCAGGGATCTCATTAAATGTTGCATCTTGGTCCAAAATTTTTCTCAAAGTAAATAGACTATTTTTTAGGTTCCAAATTGCTATGCCCAAGTAGATAGGTCTTTATGAGAAGGCTACTATTTAGAGTTCCTTTTGTTAATTCTAAAACTTCTGTTTGTCAGATAAACAGTCTTTCAGTACAGAATTTCTAACAGCCAACAGAATAACATCTGTGGCTAAAGGATAGAAACTGTGATATTTATAAGGTCTTAGAAAGATTTCCTCTTCCTTGCTGTCAAGGATCATCAAAGACATGAAGAAGACTCCTTGAAAACAACATTGGATTGATCATCTGCCCAATTTTTGCTCACCAACTTAATGTCAATCTGTACTACAACAATCAGCCTGACAGAATGGTACAAGCCCCATCACCTGGAGCTAACTATCAGGTTCCAGAAACAATTTATTTCTCCACTAGTGCCATCTTGCATTTGGAAGTTATATGTTAGTAACAGCATCTCCTGTCCTCAGTCACTTTGAGATGGTATAATCACATGTGCAGTTACCTTCAGTATTATGAGAATTAAGCAGGAGCATTACAGGCCTAGCAGTGACTATAATACTTGGGCAAGTTTCCTTATCCCTGTGGAAAAATAGGTTCTCAACTGTCATGTTACCTATCACCTAAGGTAGTTAACAAAGATTTGGAATAATTATTATGTGATATATATGTGCATGTGGGATGTCTCAGCCAAAGCCAGCCATTTACACAATTAAACAGTTATTCCTAATGAATCAGTGGAGTAAAACTACAAGATGCCCATTGGAACAAAGTGATGGTGTCATTAAAAGGTGATTCTTAAGGAAGCTTCAAGACTGGGCTTGATCTAGTAAGGCTACCCCAGACACTATACTATTCTTAGAATAACTCAGAATCATTGAGATCTGGTTTTACCTAGCTTCCACACTGGATTCATATCTAAGAACCTCAGAGAGATGGAGGAAGAGAATTTAAAACAAATGCTAAATGACAATAGAATACAAGTTTTTGTGTTGGTGGCTCATACACCTTCTAGAGAATAATTGTGTCCCATGCCTGAAACACAAGTACATTTTATCTACCAAAGAACCACAGTGCTCAGATGAAGTAGACTATTTGTGAGCATACCTGAGGAACTCTGAGGACTGCCCAAATTACCTGTCAGAAAATTTGGATAGGACAAGGTCTTGTATTAGGGAGGCAAGAGCATTGGCCAGTAAAATGCAGTTTATCACTATTTAATGTGATGTCATTTGTATTCATCAGATAAAATCCTGAAGTTCTGTTACAAGAATAATACATGTAATGCTTTAGACATAGTTAATCATATTTAAATGACATTTTCCATTAATTATTGTAATGTGTGTTTTATGCATTAACTGGAAATATTTCCTTTTGTTATAGAATACAAGGAAAAAATAGGATGAATAAAACTTAAAATCCATGTTAAACATAGACAATGAGTAAGTTAGTTGTTTGTAAGACAGAAGTGAAACGCACCAAATGTATAGGTATAATAATGAATAAGCAAGTGGCTTTTAAGACATAGTCAGAAGTCCTTACATGAATTAACATAGATAAGCCAGACATTAATTTGTGGGACATGGACCTAAAGAAACAGGGATTGAAGTACCAAAAGACACCTAATACTTATGATATAATAATACATTTGACATATTGAGGACTCAACATTTCTGACGTCTTATGCCAATGACCCAGGTGGACACATTCTGGCCAAAAGTACACATAAAATTGATAGCATCTCATCAAACATCTTAATTTAGCCTGTGAGTGTCTCTGGAGTAGCTTGAAGACTACCATTGTATTAAGGTGATTTCTCACATGACAGTTAAGTTTGCTGATATGCTTATATATCTATGAAAAAGGATATAAGTAGCTAACTAGAGAATAAACTACAAGCAGCAAAAATTGCACATGATCCTTTGGAGTTGGTAAAGGAAAATGTGTATGGATTACCAAGGTAGAATCAGATATGCTTGTTTTAATAAACATTGTTGGTTCGTGCCAGTAGAAAACAACTGGGAAAAGCCTGACGACAATTCTCTAGGATTCCTGTCTGGTTTTAGAAAAGGTTAGTACAAATCTTCTAATTCTCTCTCCTATTCACTCACTTCCCTCAGTCCAACGCAAGCATTATTATGTCTTAAAAGCAGTACCTTAGATGTATTCAATGTTACATTACAGCAATCCAACTGAATATTAGAATAGATAATATAAAATATAAACATTATGCATATTTAAATAAAATTATTCCATTTACTTGAATTTATCATTTTTATAATATGTGTGCCTGGCTTCTTGCACTTAGTATGATATTTTCAAGGTTCATTGATTTGCAACATATATATCAGTAATCCATTCCCATTCTGTTATTATGTAATAATAATATGTTCATATTCAGTTTATAGCAGTACTAGTAACAGAAGCCAACAGTGGAAACAACCAAAATGTCTATCAAAAAAGAATGAATAAACAAATCATGGTATATATTATCTGTATAATCTTCTGCCATTATTATTATGTTATATTATGTTATGGTATAACATATTATATTCTTACTATTGTTATATCTAATAAACACATTTTCATGTTCTTATTCACCATTTTATATCTTCTTTAAAAAAAAAAAAGCAGAGGGTCTTGCTCTGATGCCAAGGGAAGAATGCAGTGGTACGAGCACAGCTAAGTGCAATGTTGAACTCCTGGGCTTAAGTGATCCTTTCACCTCAGCCTCTTGAGAATTGGGACTACAGGTGCAGTCCACCACTCCCAGGTAAGCCATTTGTGCATCTTCTTTAAAGAAGTCTCTATTCAAGTCCTTTGCATATTTTTTATTTGGGTTGTATTATGGTCTGAATGTTAGCATACCCCTAAAATTCACATGTTGGAACCTAATATCCAATAATACTAAGAAGTAAAGTATTTTGAAAAACAAAGTATGAGAGTGCTGCCCTCATGAATGTGACTAGTGACCTTAGAAAAATGATTTGAGGGAGCTGCCTTGCTGATTCTACCATGTGACGATATATAAAAGGTGCCATCCATGAGAAATGGTCCCTCACCAGACACTGAAACTACTGGCACCTTGATCTTGAATCAAAAGCTGTGAGAAACAAATTCCCATTGTTTATAAATTACTCAGTCTAAGGTATTTGGTTATAGTAGCCCCAGCAGACTAAGACAGGTTGCTTATAGTTTTGTTTTTGTAATAGAAGAGCTCTTTATAGATACTCTACATACTAGACCTTATCAGACATACAATTTATAATGCTTTTTTCGATTTTAGGTTGTTCTTTTTTTTTTTTACTTTCTTAATAATGTTCTTTGATGCATGAAGTTTCTAATTTAAAATAAGTTTCAACTTATCTATTTTTTTCCCTCTGTTGCTTTGTATCATTTATAAGAACAGACTGCCAAATCCAACGTCATGACAATGTATTCCTCCTAAGTTTTTCTCTTAAGAGTTTTACAGTTTCAGCTCTTATATTTAGGTTCTTGATCCATTTTGAATTAATTTTTACATATGATCTGAGGAGGGATCAAATTTTATTGTTTTACATGTAGTTACCCAGTTGCCCCAGCACCATTTGTTGAAGAACTATTTTTCCCCACTAAATGGTCTTCATGCCATTATCAATTTATCACAGATATATTGGTTTATTTCTAGACTCTCAATTCTATCCCATTTGTCCTTAGATCTATCTTTATGCCAGTACTACACTGTCATGATTACTGTAGCTTTGTTGTAAGTTTTTAAATTAAGTGTAATTATTCCAGCTTTGTTATTTTTCAATGTTGTCTTCTATTGCATCCAAAAGGAGAAAATGCACAGGTATAAATTTAACCAATCAGGTAGGATACTTGCAAACTGAATGCTACAAAACACTGTTGAAGGAAATGAAAGAATACAAAGAATACCTAAATAAGTAGAAAAGCATTCCTTGTTCCATATTGAGGAAGACTTACTATTGTTGATGGTAATAATAAAAATCCTATTCAGGATTTCTTGAAATTACACATGAATTTGAAAATTAGCTTTTCTATTTTTGTAAAAAATACCATTGGAAATTATACAGAGATTGACTGAAATTTGTAGATAGCTTTTATTATTATTGCCATCAACAATAGTAAGTCTTCCAATATAGAACAAGGGGTGCCTTTCTATTTATTTATATATTTTTTCATTTCTTTCAGCAATGTTTTACAGTTTTCAGTGTGCAAGTATCCTATCTCATTGGTTAAATTTATACTGTAATTTTTCTTCCTTTGGATGCTATTATAAATAATTTTTTGAGTAGAAATATGAAATTTTATTTTTTCTCCATAGTTTATGTATCGTTCTGTGGGGCTTACAAATAACAACACATTCTTGGGCTGATACTATCATGGATTTTGCTTAAATTCTGAGGGCAGTAAAAATTTTAAATCCCACAGGTCAAAACTGAATCACATTAACTGACTGATGTAGTAAATGAGGGGCAATTCTAAAATGCAAAATAAAAATGGAATTAAGGCAGCTTTAAAAGAAAATAAAACTCATCCACCCAAAATAGTGCTACATAATTCATTCCTTAAAAAGCTGTATGTATAGACATAAAAGCCAAAAATAAAAATAAACACTGCAGTTGTGATGCAGCATCAGGTGCTTTTACTTCAGTGAATGGAAAATAATGGTCACAACTCAAATGAATGGGAATTTAATGTGAATATATGCACCTTACCAGAGATGTTTGCTATCAATGACATCTTAGCAATTCCATATTCCTCACATTCAGTATAATTGTTGTAAAAATATCAACTGTGGTTCTGAATATCCATTCACAGTTGACCTCATCAATGTATCTGATGTAGGAGACTGAGTATCTGTGACAGGCAGAAGCACGTGATGGTCCTCAGTCCCAAGTGGAAGAGCTAATGGTAAAGTCATGTCAGAAGGTTTCACATCCATAGTTTCTGATAAAGGACTCTTTTGTATGGAATCTTGTTCACTCAAAGCATGATCCTCTACACTGGAGTCTAGAGTTTTATCTGCACCAGAATGGACTTTTGTTTTGTGCTTCTTTAAATTTTTAATATCTATGTAAGAATTACCACATAATTCGCAGACAAATGGTCTTTCTCCTGTATGGGATCTAAAGTGTTTGTTGAGCTCTCCAGAGGAAATAAAACTTTTCCCACAAATACCACATATGTATGGTTTTTCACCTGTATGTTTCCGAGAATGAGTGATAAGAGAGCTAGAGACAGCAAATGCCTTCCCACAGGTATCACACACGTAAGGCTTTTCTCCAGTGTGCCTACGGACATGATAGGTCAGTGTGCTGGCTTGGGCAAATCTCTGTCCACACCTATCACAGACATATGGTTTCTCTCCACTATGCTTCCTTGCATGAATCTTGAGATTGCTAGAAGTTGCAAACTGTAAGTTGCATACATCACGTTTATAGGGTTTTTCTTCACCATGATGCATGCGACTATGGAAGACTAGCTGACATTTCTGAGCAAATCCTTTATCACACAATTCACATTTGTATGGCTTCTCACCTGTATGAGTTCTTACATGGGTTTTCAGCTGGTTACACTGGGTAAATGCCTTTCCACATAAGTGGCAGACATAAGGTTTGACTCCTTTATGTATTCTCATGTGCCTTCTCAAGCTGCTGGCTTCTGAAAACACTTTCCCACATGTGTTACACATTGGCTTGGCCTTGGAATACCTCTGATCCAGCTCTTCCCCGAAGTTCTCCACCTCATAAGGACTCCTGACACTGGCTATATTAGACATAGAGTGTTCTTTCAGAGCACAGTTCGGCTGTGATTTTCCACGTTTCCGTTTCACTGTAACAGTTTGCACAATATCTTGTGCTGGAAAAGTATTTTCCACAACTGATGTCAACTTGAGTTCTGAATTATCATTTATTTGTGCAACTTGTTCTCCTACAGGTATGGACAGTTTATTTGCACCTAGGAATAATTCAACAGGTGCATTCTCTAAAATATCACTGGGATATTGCACTGTTTTATTCTGCCCTGTTTTTGGGGAGTTGAAAGGCTTCTTCTTCTTTTTTGTTTGAGATGAGGCTTTTTTGCTAATGCCCCTTGTTTAGGATTTGCCTGAACCAAATCTGCAGATACTTCTGATTTCTCTCGATTATTATAATCTCGCAGAGTAAGAAGACAAGTCTGTTGATTCAATTCAATGTTTCCAGTAATACTAGATATCTCTGTCAAGATTTAAAGTTCCTGTGTATATAAACTCCAACAGTTTCTGAAATCCATCAGCCTTCACCTGACTCTGATCAAGAAAGACATTGTTCTCAGAAGTGCTTCTGTAGATCGCACCAAAATACTCACTAAAGGAGGCCAGCACATTCCTATGAGCTTTAAACTGGAATTCTCCAATCACTATGGTGCAGTCACAAAGAAAACCTGCTTCCCGCTGTTTGTTCAGTCTCTCTAAAAGGTGCTCACAGTGGTGCGAATACTGCATTTTGGTATCAGAATGGAATTTTACCCTTGATCGATAGCAACCCAAGGGGGGAACAGTTTCTTCACTCTCTCTCCACCATCTTGGGAGGACCAATAATTTTTTTTAAAGATTCTTTTTACATTGTTCATTGTGTATAGAAATAAACTAAATTTTACGTGTCAATTATGTGCCCTACAATTTTGCTGTATTATTTACATAGCTTTAGTAGTTCTTGTAGATTCTTTTGGCTTTTCTATGTAGAATTATGTCATCTGCAAATAGAGAAGTTTAGTTTTTCTTGTACAATTTAAATGCCTTTTATTTCTTTCTCTTGCATTATTTTTCTGGCTGGAACTTCAATTTGAAGAGCATTGGGGAAAGCAGGTATCCATATCTTGTTCCTGATTTTAGGGGGAACGCTTTCAGTCATTCACCACTGAGTATGTTAGCTGTATGTTCTTCATAAATGCCTTTTATTATGTTGAAAAAGTTACCTTCTATTTCTAGTGTTCTAAGTAGTTTTATCATGAAAGTGTGCTGAATTTTGTTAAGTACTTTTTCTGAAAAATAGCTCTTCAACAAATGGTGCTGGGGCAACTGGATAACTACATGTAAAACAATAAAGTGTGATTTCTTTCTCACATTGTACGCAAAAATTAACTCAAAGAGGATTAAGAACCTAAATGTAAGAGCTGAAACTGTAGAATTCTTAAGAGAAAATTTAAAAGTAATATATTGTCATGATGTTGGATTTGGCAGTCAATTCTTATAAATGGTACCAAAAAAAAAGAAGAAAAAATAGATAATTGAATGTTATTTTAAATTAGAAACTTTGTACATCAAAGAACATTATTGATAAGGTTTGGCTGTGTCCCCATTCAAATCTCAGCTTGAATTTTGTCTTCCAGAATTCTCATGGTGTGGGAGGGACCTAGGGGGAGGTAATGAAATCATGGGGCCCAGTCTTTTCCATGCTATTCTCTTGATAGTGAATACATCTCATTATATCTGATGGATTTATCAGAGGTTTTTGCTTTTGCTTCTTCCTCATTTTCTCTTGTTGCCACCATATAAGAAATGCCTTTTGCCTCCCACCATGATTCTGAGGCCTCCACAGCCATGTGGAACTGTAAGTCCAATTAAAACTCTTTTTCTTCCCAGTATTGGGTATGTCTTTATTAGCAGCATGAAAACAGACTAATACAATTATCAAGAAAAAAAGAAAAAAAATCTAAAATCCAAAAGATACTATGAATCAACTGAGATAATCATGTGGTGATTTTTATTTGTTCTATTAATGTGACATATATTATAATTGATTTTCTTACATTGAAACACCATTTCATTCTTGGAAAGATTCATCTGGTCATGATAAATAATCCTTTCAGGATCAGTTAGATTCAATTTGCTAGTGTCGTTTGGTATATATAAGGATCTGTGGCCTATGGTTTTATGTGTGTGATATATTCAATTTTGGCATTAGAAAAATATTGGTCTCATAGAAATTAGTTAGGAAGTGTTTCTTTCTCTCTTCTTTTTCTATTACAGTCACGTGTCACTTAACATGAGAATATTTTCTGAGAAATGCATCATTAGGTGATTTTGTTGTTATTCAAATATCATAAAGTATACATACACAAACCTAGATGACATAATCTACTATAAACTAGGCTATATGGTGCAGTCTATTGGCCCTAAGCTAAAACCCATGAATACGTTACTGTGCTGAATACTATAGGTAACTGTAACACTATAGTAATTGTTTATGTATTTAAATATATCTAAACATAAAAAAACAAAGAAACATGTCACTGACAAGAGAACACAATAATATTTTAACAGCTGACTCCAAAGAAATGGAAATCTATGAGGCACATGACAAATAATTCAAAATTACTATAAGGTAACTCAACAAGCTGCAAGAAAACACTGACAACTTAATTAAATTAAGAAAACAAAATACAAGCAAAGCTATAAAATCAACAGAGAGAAAAGAAAAGCAACAAACAAAAATTTTAGAGTTAAAGAATGCAGAAAATGAAAATTTTAAAATGCAACAGAGAGCATCATCAGCAGATTAGATCAAGCAGAAGAAAGAATATGTGAAGTAAAAGACAGCGAATGTGAAAATATCCAGTCAGAGGGAAAAAAACAAAAGAACAATGAATAGGAATAAAGAAGGCCTGTGGAGTGTATGAAGCACCATTCAAATAACTAACATTTATATTATAGGAATTTCAGAAGGAGAAGAGAATAAACAAAAAGCTAATCCTTTACCTGGCAGAGTTACCCTGTAGAATGAAGGAAAAATAAAGAATTTTCCAGATAGACAAAAACTAAGAGAGTTCATCACCAATAGACCTACTTTACAAGAAATGCCACAGGGAATTATTCAAGCTGAAATTAAAGGATAATAATTAGTAATATAAAAACATATGAAAGTATACAACTCACTAGCAAAATGATTACTCAAATTCAGAATACCCCAATACTGTAATAGTGGTATATAAATTACTTATATCTCTAGAATAAAGGTTAACAGACAAAACTATTAAAATAACTATACCTAAAATAATTTGTTAATAGATACACAATATAAAAATATATAAACTGTAAAACATAAAAATATTTAAACTGTAAAACATAAAATATGGGGGTAGAATAAAAAATGTATCATAGAGTTTTGAGTGAAATTGAAATTATCACTCTTGCATGTACAGACATAGGCCTCAAATAATCTCATCACTTATGTTCCAAATAGCATCTCTGTAGTCTCACATACTTATGGCAAGAAATTAACACAAAAGTAAAATATTTAATTAGTTCCATAGCTTAAATAAGTTTTCCTTAAAGAATGACACCTACACCAACAACATCACTATCATTTCAGAACTTGTCAGAAATGCAATTCCAGGATACTATTCCTAACCTATAGAATCAGAAACACAAGAATCTATGTTTGAACAAGCCCTCCTGGCAATTCTGATGCCACTAACATATAAGAAGTGCTAGGAATTCTGTCATTTACTCAATATGACTATTTGAATTAAGCATTCTAGAATTGTGGAAATAACCACAGGATGGAGGTAGGGGTACACTCAGCCTACTCTGGAGTGGATGTAAGCCAAACCCCACTGATCACCTGACTTCTACAAGCCCCTACTCTGACTGGTGCACCTGGAAAAGACACAGACACTCAATGTCAGCCCATGAAAGCATTGGAAAGGGGACTGTACCCTGCAGTGCCACAGGGGTGACCACATTGACTTTTGGTTCTCTTGGAATTAGTCTCAATTCAGAGCCACTGTTCAGTAATCTTCAAAAGGTCTAATTATTTCCTTTTCTCTGATGCACAGTGCACCTGGAGAATGATGGCATTTCAAGCACTCAGTGCTGGCTTCTGCTGCTGGCAGAATTGGGCAATCATCAGTGGCTGTGGCCAGGCTGACCTTGGTGAGTGGGGCTCCATGTTGCTTCCAGTGACTATACACTTTGAATATTTGAAATGTTAATATCTAGTATAGAATTGGATTTCTTATATATGAATATGCTGAGCAAATTTTTTTTCAATTGATTTCTTTTTCAAGCTTCCTTCCCTTTTTAACCTGCCTCATCTAGCAAGTGTTTTTTCTAAGATGGCTGTTGTCCAACATCTGGTTCTGAAAGGAAACTACAGAAATCCATCAAAACACATTTGCTTGATTCCTGTGGGTTTTTGGGTGGAGAATAAATTTAAACTCTGTGTGAACCTAATGAGGATAAAATAAGCAAGGACAGAGGAATGAAACATTAGACTGAGACTGCAGAAAACCAAAACTATCAGGTTTATGCCCCAAGCCTTTCCTCTGTGATAGCAATATGGTCGGGTCCAAAGGAACTGGCCTGCTACAAAACCTATCTTGCACTGCAGATATAGGGTATTCATTATGTCATTGAGATCCTGTAGGTATCATTCATGTCTTCCTTTTGCCACTTTGGGCGGTAAGATCTGCATAATTATGAACGGATGTAATCCCAGCCACTGTATATAGTTTACAAACAAGACTCTCCCTTACAATCGATGCTTACTGCACAATAGGACAGAATTGAACAGAAGCTGGACTTTAAAATAGAGGTGTGACAAATTTGTCAACAAAGTTACAGGATATTCTATCAAGGATGTAAATTAGAGAATCTTATTATCCTATACACACTAATATTTCATTCCAGATGTTCTGCTACTAAGAACGTGTATATAAGAATCATACACCTGAAAAAAATGAGAGAATGGAAATAAAGAAATCCATTACTTGATGCTTGATGTAAGTTACTTATGCTTTCCAAATGCTACAATATAACGAGTGTTTAGTAATAGACAGCAAGCTCCAAGTCCAGAATAAAGAAGGAACACTATATATTTTTTAAGTCATCACTTTATGTGGCAGACTTTGTGAATAATATTTTGTTGATGCCATCAGTGGTAAAACATCCTTTGTTTCCTCTACCTCTGGGCAGAAGAAAAAGGGTGCCAATTAAGTTATATATTATATTTAAAAAGCTGTTTTAGACATATTTAGACCTGGATTCTTATCACTTTATAGGCAATGAGAAAGTGTTATAATTTTTAATTCTATTAACCCCCCACTAGCTTTTTATGTTATTGCCGTGCATTTTAATTCAACATATATTGAATTACATTGAATTAAAACCATTTGACATTTGCTGAATAGTTAAATTTTTTAATGTATCCATGTATTTACCAACATCACTGATTTACTTTTTCCTCCTCCATTTCTGTATTTCTTTCTTGATCATTTTCCTTCTACCTAAAGAATTCTGTAGTACCTACTGGAATATTTGTCAATGATGAAACCTCTCAGGCTTATTTTGTCTAGAAATATCTTTATTTCACCTTCAATTCTGGAGTATATTTTAGGTTGGCAGAGAATTCTAAATTGGCAGTAATCTTATCATTAAAGATGTCATTATATTGTTTTCTGGCTTCCATAATTTGTTTTAGGAAATTAGTTATTTACCTTCTTGTAGCTGGTTTGAAGGTAATGTGTATTTTCAACACTGTATTACTGTTTTGATTCCTTCAGTTTGACTCTGATGTGCCAAAGCGTGGTTTCATTGTATTTACCCAGCTG